GAACAAGAACAAGAACAAGAACAAGAACAAGAACAAGAACAAGAACACCAGACATAGCAATACATATTTATTATCCCAGCACTGGAGAAAAGGAGACAGGCAGATCCCTGGGGCTCAATAGCTACCCAGCCTAGCCTAATGGCAAGCTTCAGACCAATGAGAAGCCATGTCTCCAAACAGGGGGATAATGATAGCCAAGGCTGTCCTCTGGCCTCCACACATCCATGTGAGCATGTGTGTAACACACACACAGACTTCTAAGTTCTTAACTTTTCCAAGTTCAAACACTAACTGTTCTGAAAAGCTCCCTCTTCCCTCCCTGCCTCTTTCTGAACATATCTTTTTTTTCTTACAGGGCCTTCAGAATGTGTGCCATCCCATAATGAACCACCACAAAGAAAGCTTCCCAGGGACCGAGGCTACCGAGGAACTGAGGCTAGTCAGGCAGTTGTCTGATTTAAAGTGACCGTTATGTTTCTTCTTGTGCACATGTGGTCCACATTAAACCCTTCTGACGCACTCCCGGATCTCATTAACTGATCCTAAAGCTACAGAGCCCAGCTTGGAGTTTAGTCACTGCCTGGTATACACAAGTTTGGATTCTGTCCCCAGCACAGCAAAACTCAGACAAACAAACAAGCAAACAAAACAGAACAGAACAGCTATTTTACAATCTGAGAATCTATTAATAATTTTAATTTACATTCTTGAAATTATTAGCAGTTTAATTGCTCAATGTTCTACATTTTTCTTATATTCAGATACTTGACTCAATTCCATTTTTTTCTTTTGGTTTTTCAAGACAGGGTTTCTATGTATAGATATAATATATATTATACATATATTAGTTCTAAAAATTTATTGTTCACTTAGGATTCTTAAAGTATTTGTATTACATTCAATGAGTCAATATTTGAATTTCCATTTAGAATATTTTCACTGCCCATTATTTTCTTACTTTAATCTACCTTTTTTTATTACACAGAGTTTCTCTGTAGCTTTGGAGCCTGTCCTGGAATTCGCTTTGTAGACCAGGCTGGCTTCTAACTCACAGAGATCCACTTGTCTCTGCCTCATGAGTGCAGGGATTAAAGGCGTGTGCCAACACCGCCCAGTTAATTTACCTTTCTATGACTCAATAAAATTTTCAAATTGAAAAGAAAAAGCCAAATCTTTATTACACGGATAAAATGTGAACATGTACCCTGAGGTTGAGATAAGCCATGAGGATTGTCTCATAGTCCAGTCTTCTACATGCATTCATTCATTTTTGTATGTATGACTGTTTTTCCCACGTGTGTCTGCGCATGCCTGGTACCCAAAGAGGACAGGAGAGGGCGCTGGACCTCCTAGGCTGGAGTTACAGGAGTTACAGACAGTTGTGAACTGCCATGTGGGTGCTGGGAATTGAACCCAGGTCCTTTGGAAAAGCAGGCAGTGTTCTTAAGCCCTGAGCCACATCTCCAGACCAGATGGTCCATTCATTTTACAGGAGAGGAAGCTGAGGTCCAAAGAGTACAAGCTGAGCTCACAGCTTGTGTGGAGTGAGGATGGACTGGGGCTCCTGAGTCGTGATCAGCTGTCCTTTCTGCTCTACCAGGCAGCCTCCTGATTGGCAGCCACCCCCGAGAAAGCAGACGGGTCTTTTCAAGTTTCTCTAGTTCAGTGTTGTGTACTACTCCATGCTTTGACTTTTGAAACTCAATGCATCTACTGGCTACTTTCCTCCTTGCTGTGACAAAACACCCAACCAAAGCACCTGGAGGAAGGAAGGATTTATTCCGCCTCACAGTTCAAGGGTACAGTGCATCATGGCAAGGGAGACAAGGCGGCAGGAGCCTAGGCAGTGGGCCACGTGGCATCTACACTGAAGAAGCAGACAGAGATGAATGTGATGCTCAGCGTACTGTCTCCTTTTTCTTTAGTCCATGAATACATCCCATGAGATGGCGCCATGCACAGTTAGGGCGGGTCTTTCCAGCTTTGTCAACCCAAACTAAAAACATCCTACAGACAAGCCCAGAGTTTTGTCTCCGAGGTGGTTCTAGACCCTGTCCAATTGAAGAAAACCAGTATTAACCATCATAACGCACGGCTCTGAGTTTAGCGCCTTGGCATTTTCCCTAACTCCATCAGTCCGAGGAGACCATGTCCGGCCTTGATTTTGCAGGCATTACTATGACAGACACTCCTTGTGCATATGTGTCAGGCTGACACATGGCCCTTCCTCATCCCAGAGGCTCTGTGACTTGTGCTTGTCCATCCCACTGCAAACCTGGCAAGCTACTGTCAGGCCTGAAGCCAGACTGACCTTGGCCTCCTCCTCCCCTCTCTCGCTCCTCCTGCTGCCTTTCCCATGAGCTCTTTCTTCCTGCCTGTCCCTTCTGCGTATTAGAAGCCACAGAGACTCTATCATCAGAACGGAATGTAGCAGAAAATAGCACAAAGAGGACTTCCTTCTGCACAACAGCCTTTTTTTTGGGGAAGAATCTGTATGTTGTAGTGAGAGAACTCTGACCCAGGTGTGTCCAGAAACTGGGTCCTGTCATTTTCTGGATTTGCAGAATTTCTCTGTCCTCAGTTTTCTCATCTATATATTAGGAAATGGAAACCCACAGCATGGTATATGGTCCACGCTAGCAGCCATCCTCCGGGCCTCCTTTACAGTCTTTCACTTAATTATCGCCTCAAGCCCATGGAGCAGACAGCATCCCTATTCGAAAGAAGGGAAAACTGATGCCGCAGAGTTAATTTGCCAAGGATTATCTGGCTGGCCAGTGACAGAGTGTCTTTACCTCCCGCCCTTCCTTGTTGAGTTATCACAAAAATCAAATAATTTAGTAATGAGTATGAGGCTGCTTTAATGGAAGCAAGCACTCTGTAAATATGGGGGAGAGTTATTAAAAGACCCAGGCTCCTCGTTCACTCCCTTTCTTTCTCTTTTTCTGTCACCTCCCTAACGTATAAGCAGCTGCCTTTGGTCCAGGCCTATCAAAGAAATGTCATAAAACCATTTTTCAAAATGTCAAATGCCTGTGTACTCTCCCCCCCCCAAAGTAATTAAGCCCTTTTATTTTCTCCAAGTCATGATGCAGAACCCTGGGAACTTCCAGAACATGCCCTTTCTCTGCCATCCTGAACTAATGGGAATCAAGGCTGAAGGGTGAGCTTGCCTGGGACTCCACAAGATCCCATCAGTGCCACAAAGGCCTGGCCTGGCTTTGGCAGGCCTCCAGTGTTGACCACAGAGCACTAAAGAATAACAGGGGTCAATTATTTATCTAGGAGCCAAAGACTCACAGTGTCATGGGCCAGTTCTAGCAGATGCCAGGGTCCCTTCACCCAAGGAGAGCGGGTGCCTGAGGGTGGATTCCAGTCCTGTCGGCCAGCCTGCTCATTCTGTCATCCCCTCTGAAGTCATTCCAGCCTTTGTACACAACACCACCGCAAGAACACCATGCCCAGAGGGCAACTGACATTTCAGTGGCATTAGTGGGTGTTGACATTGAGCTAGATATCTGTACATACATTTTCCTATTTCGTCTCCATGGCAACCTTTACTTTCCCTGTTGTCCTTGACAAAAGAACTGAGGCCTATGCTCTGTAATAGAATTGGCAAAGGGCAGGGCTGGAATGATAGCCCAAGCAGCTCTTCAAAATTATTTTGACATACATTTATTTATTTATTTATTTATTTATTTATTTATTCATTCATTTATTTACAGGGTCATATGCAAGGACATGTGCCATGTCCTTGAATATTTGAGGGTCAGAGGACAACATATGGAAGTCAGTTCTTCCACTATGTAAATTCATTTAAAAGATCAAACTTAGGTTGTTGGGCTTAGAAGCAAGCACCCTGACCCACTAAGTCATCCTGCCCACCCCCACAAGTCCAGGTATTTCTAGGACACTATGTGTAGTAGTTTGAATGAAATGTCCCTCCAGTCTTGGTCATTTGAACACTTGAACCCCAGCTGGTGGTACTGTCTGAGGAGGCCTTAGGAAATGTGATGTTGTTAGGGGAAGTATGTCCTGGGGAACTTAAGACCTCACCCCATTCCCAGTTCCCTCTTTCTGCCTAATGCTTGCAGTCCACCATATGAGCCCTCCGCTTCTCCTCCAGCTGTTCCGTCTGCTGCTTGCTGCCTTGCTTCCCTGCCATGACGGACTCTCACCCCTCTGGGACTATAAGCCAGATAAACCCTTCCTTTTATAAATTGCCTTGGTTATGATGTTTTATCACAGCAACAGAAAGGTAACTAAGACACCATGTACACCTTCTTTCATAGCTTCTCCTTTGATTATTTTTAAAGATTTATTTATTTATTATATATACAGTATTCTATTATATATACAGTATTCTATATGCATGTATGCCTGCAGGCCAGAAGAAGACTCCAGATCTCATTACAGATGGTTGTGAGCTACCAAGGGGTTGCTGGGAATTGAACTCAGGACCTCTGGAAAAGCAGCCAGTGCTCTTAACCACTGAGCCATCTCTCCAACCTCCTGATAATTATTTTTAGGAACACTATCCAGAACGCTTAGATTATGTCAAACACAGTCTTAAGAGGAATGGATTCTGTTTATGGACTTCCTGGTTTCATTCCTAGCTTATTATCAGATATGATACAACCCATCATTAGAATCATCTAGAAGGTTTAAAATACAGATTTCTTGGAATTCATCCTTTATGCATGGCCATAATCCTAACCTTGGTACTAGAATATAGGATTTGGTGTTTTTCAGTCTCCCCAGTGATTTTAATAATCTCTCGGGCCAAAAGCCATCATCTTAGGCAAGCCTTTTCTTCAGTCTCTTTCCAAATTGACATCTATATTCTGGATTTACTGAGATTGCTCAAACCCATAGAATTCAGTTAGATAGGGTGGACTTTTCTTTTCTTCCACCTTTCAGTGTTTGTTGTTTTCAAAACGTTATTATGTAACCCAGGCTGACCCAAACCTCCAAAGTGTTGGGATTACTTACAGGTATGTTCTGCCAAGTTCATCTTACTCATTGCTATTTTTTTTAATTTTTATTTATTGAGGCAAGGTCTTACTATGTAGTCTTCAACAGCCTAGCACTTGCTAGAACTCACACAGAGCCTCCTTACTCTGCCTCCTGAGTGATGAGATTAAAGGCACGCTCTATACCTAGCTTTAATGATCTATTTTAAATTATGTGTATCTCTGTATGTCTGTGCATATAAATGTAGTTGTCTGGAAAAGCCAGAAAAGGGCCTCAGGTACCTTGGAGCTGAAATTACAGGCTATTGTAAACTGGGTATCAGTGCTGGGAACTGGAGCTGGGTCCTCTGCAAGAGCAGTATGTGCTCTTAACTGCTGAGCCATCTTTCCAGCCTCTCGTCAGTCTTTTAACCCAGCTCATATTCTGTCATCTCTGTGGGCATAGTGACTACCACAGCTTGCAGGATTGCCCTGGCATTTGTCTTCTGTTAGCACTGTTGCTTTTCATCTGGCTTCTCTGCTAGTTAGAACGTGAACTTAGAAGGTACAAGAAAGATCCAGATGAGAATGGTGCCTCATTTAGCACCTGGAAATTTATTTCTGTCTCTGAGAGAAGAATGGGTCCAGCAGTATTTCCAGACGCTGGAGACCCAAGCCTCCACTATCTTGTCGCTTGTCCATAAGTAGCACAGTGCCTTTTTTTTTTCCTGCGACCCAAACCAGCAAGTTCCCAATTAAATATTTCAGTCGGTGAGGAAAGGAGGACGAGGAGGAACTGCACCACAGGATTATGAGCACATCCCACTGTCTGGGACTTGGT